CCTACCAGGGATGTCTGGTAGGGGCATTTTATAAATTTCAGTAGTTTAAACATGACTCTAGAGAATGTGCCATTGAAGTTTGTGAACATGCATATTTATATAAAGGTGCTGCTTTTTCAGTTCTTTATAATTAGGATAGTCATTCAGCTTCCATCATTGGGCAGCAATCAAAAGGTAAGTAGAGCAATTAGGATGGTCTCCACCCTATGTCATTGGCCCTACAGTTTTCTAGAAGTAGTTTTTGGAATTATGTAATGTTCTCTACCAATGACAACATATGAATGTTATTACATTTCCTTTTGAGACAATGTGGTCTGGTAGTTGTGAGGGTTATGTATGACACAATGGTAAATAAAAGAAAATTCTTAGATTTTTAGATTTTTATTTTAAAACATAAAATTTTATAGTAATTAACATCTACGTTTAAACAGAATGATGCATTAATTAAATGCCTTGTCATAACTATTATAAGCTCTGTTAGAAAAATAGACATCTTACAACTACAGTGTCAGCTCTTTAATAAATACATAAAACAGCAGTTAGTAGTCAATCAGAATTATATGAACAGCTTCATAGTATATTATATGAAATTGTCATATTCCCCAATCTTCTGTGTCCTTTAAGGAGATTTAATTTTATGTATAATTCAAAGCCAGAAATAATAAGAAACTTGCTTAATGAGAATGTTTCTTACACCTATTTTATATTTAAATATTTTAATTTAAAAATATACTCTATGTTAAAAATTTTTTACAAAGGCAACATTAATTAAATGAAACAAATAAGGTTATATCATTGATAATTTAAAAACATTTCTAAATTTTCTTTGCAGAGGTTTAAAACTGAAGTAGCTATTAAATGTAAAATAGTTTTAGTTATGTTAAATATCCAAAAATGAGTTTTTATATTAATATGTGCAAATTTGTATTTTCCTATAATTTAGAATGAAAGTATTTGATATTCAATATCTTTAATAAAATTTATCCTATTTATCATTGTGTGGAATTCTTATCAAAATCATATTTATCTATGGTATAATATAAAGTTAATAAAAGTTCTTTAGACAAATCACAGTTTCAATCCTTGGTAACTGCAGTGTGTGTGTGTGTGTGTGTGTGTGTGTGTGTGTGTGTAATTGTTGGGTTAAATAATTTTAAACTGAAATTAGATTGTAGATGTTCAAACCTGATTAAACGAGTTAGCTTAAAAGATACATTTTATGTAGGAAAGTATTTCAGGTAGATAAAAGAGTAGTGTTGTTACTCTCAGGTATTTTATTAACATCTGCCCAGATAGCTAAACAACTGTTTCATATAATTAAAATAATTTAATAACATTTTTATGACAGTAATTACATGGGCTTGAAGGTAAATTTATCAGAGCCAAAGGAAAAATAAATCACTCAGAAGAAGGGAAATGTTAAGAATAAAAATATAGAAGGACTCAAAGAGAAAGTTATTTTTTTCCCCAACAGCACTGATTGGTTGTATCATATTTTTCTCCTGTCACTGCTGTAACATATGCAAGATGCTGTAAAATGTAATCATGATGTTTACATGTAATATTCTCCCACTTAATTTTGTTTAACAGAGAGATGATAATATAGAAGTATTCATTACAAAGGATAGAAAGAATAAAAAATTATTAACAAGACTAAGAGAAACCCACTCATTCTTATCAGTTAAACCAGGGTTTGCAGAAATCATAGCCACTGGCATAAAGAGGGGGTTAAAAAGCTTTAATAACCTAAAGGTCTGCAGGATGTGAGCTCATAATCAGACAGTTAGGATCCATGCTTAGTTGTATGTGATTCAGTTGTACTGAAAACTGGCTCATATGCCATCATAAGTCAATTTTCAAATGTTTGTTAGAAAGCAATGTCCCTATACCCATGAACATGTAGTTAAAAATTAATTAGTGTACTATTTATTCAAGCACAACTTTCAACACTGCATTTAACATGCCAAAAATTGCAAGATACATCACAATTTCAGAGATGTTATACTGAAAAAGCGGATGTGTCAGAATCAATGAAGTATGAATATGTATAATCAGTTACCCACAGTAAATTTTCCATAGGGGAATTATAAAAGAGAAGGGAAATGATCTGAAAGGTAATTCTATATTTCTTTGAAAGGTGATATATTTCAATTTGCATTGCATGAAATGGAGTTTTTAAGGTCAGTATATATTGATAAGGACAGTCATAAATTAAATGTTTAGAGCAAATAAAACAGAATACATTATGCACATGCTTGAACTCCCAAGTAGTTATATTTCTCTTGAAACTTTTATTAAAATAAAGGCCTCAAATCCTTTAAAACCGAGTCTCTAACAGTTGTGAGAACTTAAAATTCTTAATTTTCAATGGATCTGTTTTTGTTCAGGTACATAAATTCAAATGAGTTTTAAAATTATTAAGAGGTGTTTGGAAATAAACATTATTCCATTACATTTGATTATTTTTAATAATTGGACTTACTGAGTTTGAGGGCAATCCCTTAGAAAACTGAGTAGAAAAAAAAAATAGGAGTAAGGAAAGGAAGTAAAAGCCACTGAATCTAATTTGCTATATCAGGTACCCAGACTAAATAATTCTATAGAAAAAAATTTTCATAGTCCCTCATAAGAATATTTCAATGTCTCATGGATGCCATAAGAATATCTTCAGTAGAGATTAGGAAATATTAAGACATATTTGGAATTTATTCTTTTTCTTTACTTGTTCTTTAACTTAAATTGTTCTTTATTGTTTAATGTATTTTATTGGAATTTATTCTTTAGTGAAGGATTACATCTGATGCATACAATAATTTTAATAATGATTTTTTTAAATTTTCCTGAAGACAAAAAATGTATTTTGTTTATTTTAATTTTTAAAATCTTTATTAACTAAAGCTGCTTTGAACATTTAGGACATAATCAGATTTCTGGTGAATTTCTCAGTCTTGCAGAGAATATGTATGACTTCTTAAATGTTAACAAATTTTGAAGAAGATATCAAATGTTTAAAAACCCATGTACACTGCAGTGTAAACATGTCCCCAGAGAAATCAAATGCATACAGTTATATTGTAGTGTTATGTCTGGCACATTGCTAAGTCATTACATGGCACATGTAATTTAAATGTAAGTCATTTAGGGCACATAAAAGCTGTCGTACCAAAAGTGTTCAAGTTCCTAACTTTGTTAACCATTAAAAATGTCATTACTTGTGTTTGATATCAGTAAATCTTAAAAGGCTCCTGTGGTCATATTGAAAATAGGCTCTATTTACAAATATTATTTAATCTAAGAATACCCTGTTTTCCCTTACCTTTTAATTAATTCTAATTAGTCAAATATTAATTCTCTTCTCACAAACCATTATACAGGAACATACCAATTATTCAAGTAAAATATAAGCTCTAAAACCTTTAAGAATTAGATCATTAAGTGGAAAAAAAGAAAGAAAGCACATAACAGTCATCATCTAGCTTTGAACAGCCTATCAGGAAGTTTGTCTCTCACTGGGGTAACAGCTTCTGTTCAGTTCGTTATAAATTAGTGCAAACTAGTGAGAGTGTAAAAATATAAACTGTGGACTTTCAGGGTTTCAGTTTATTTTGCTCTTTTGTATAATTCATTCCACATGGAAATTAGTTTATGAACATCATAATGTTCATTTTTAAATTGTCAGCATTTTAATAAATGGAATTTTTCCACTTTTTCCTTTTGGGACTGTCAGGTATCAATTTATTTTCCTTTTAAAAAGGATGCTACATGTGACAGACAAACTGAAAAATGTGATTTTTACGTTATCCTTGGTGGGTAACTTAAACAAGTGAGTCACAGTACTGAATTATGTCAGTGTCCCCAATCTCTCATTTGGGGAAGGAAATACAGTTTAACTTAGAGTCATAATTGCTTGGCTATGGGGACAGCTAATGGAGTTGCCCTATTTGTTAACTCCAGAGCAACTTATGTATTAAAATACTCTTTTGGGTAGAATGTGGAGTGCAGACTTTAGTCTTCATTGAAATGCAAATATCTAGCACTTTGATTAACTCAAGTGCTGAAAGACAGCAAATCTGGGATGTTAATTATAAAAAGACATTGTTTTCATAGGCAAAACTCTGACTACTGGACTTCTAGCCAGTAAAATGAGAATAAATCTGTAGGGCTGTGGTAATTGTGAAGAAGTTTCCATTGGGGAAGATAAAAAGCTCATAGGCTCTGTATCAATCTCGGGGTGAGCACCGCACAATTTTAGGGGGTGCTGTTCACACAGGCTAAGGCATGAATGGAATTCACACCTGTAGTTAACTCTTGGAAGTTGATTGGCAGGAAAGATTGCAGCTAGTCATGGCCAATTCAGTCTGAATGACTCTTTCAGCTTTGTTTTGCAATTTTCTCATGCTCATATACTTAAGACTTCAGTAAATCACATTTAAAAACACTTGCCAATTGGATATTCTAAAGACTCAAGAGGTAGCATGATATTGTGCAACGAACACTAGCCTGGCAGTAAGATAGAAATTGTCTTCAAATGCTGCCACTTAATCACTGGGATGGTTTTTGAGATATCACTTAAACTTGATTCCCTGACTAACTAAAATGATGAATTAGCTTATTTCTTAGATAGTTTATCTTCTGCCAATTGCATACTTTTAAAATTCTAGTCAGTGGAGTTGAGGAGATACTATTTTATATAGCCTAATATAACTTTTAATTTTAAAATGCTAATATCTACTTAAAGTAAATATCTGAGAAAGCTCAGTCAAAATTGTGGCACTTTGCTTGACAAGGCAGAGTTTCTAAATATCTTCTGAATTTTAACCTGATGATTAGACAAATGAAGTGGTGAAATAGTCTGTCCAGTTAACCAGGTAAGAAGATATAAGACTCCACATCTTCAAACAACTAAGCTGTTCAAATTTTGATGTTACTTTACAGTGTCCCTTATTAAACATTCAGCTTTTAAAACCAGTATTCTAATAAAGTGACATTATATTATTAAGTTTTTATGGCAGTAGTAACTTAGCACTTATTTAATCCAGTCATCTGTGACTTATATAAACTTATCCTGTAAGAAAGAAAAACAAACCATAAAGGCAAAGAGGAGAGAATGTTGGAATTAGTATCCATCTTGTAAAAAGAAGAAAACAAACACACATATGCATAAAACTAGTTTCAAAAGCAATAACCCTCAAGATTAATGTTTTATCTGTTCACCTCTTGAGTGAAACACTAATCATTTACTCATCTAGCTATTCTTGTAGATTCACTGCCAAATGTTGAAGTGTTTGGCAACATTAGAATAAATGCCTTATTATTTTTCATTTGCATGTTCCATGCAGGGATTACTGTACCCTTGCAGTGACACAATGCCATTGCTTCTCTCTCGGAAGCTTAGGAATGGCCAGGTACCTGTAAAGTGTAATCAGTGCTCTTCAGATGATCTACATTCTATGCTGATCTAAATAAGTTATATATTACAGTAAAGTGCTACAATGACACTAGTCTCAAACAGTAGTAAGACACATTTTTTTTTTCTCTGAAAAAGTCAGCAGCGATGTGAGTCACATGATGATGAGGAAGCTTGTCAGTCTCCATTCCAGTGAAAACCAGAAACTAGCATGATCTAGAACAATTTGTCTCCTCCTGTGACTTCTAAAACTATAATTTTAGGAGCAATTATTAAAAATCCAGTTTCCCATAAAGTACTTTTAAATCTTTTTAGTAGTTGCACCTGAAAGTTTCATGAGCATTTAATTTGCTGATATCCATTTTTATTTCTTCAGGCTTCTCACGTCGGTAGGTTACTGCTCTTGTGCAAACACTTTGCAGAATTGACTTGTCCTTAATGGAGAAGAAATATTAGCATGAATTAAGGACCGAAATATTTGAAGTAGACAATGACATACAGATAGTAATTCTTTTTTTAGAATTCACTGACCTTTTTTGAGGTCGACACCCTGTAATCTGCTGAGGACTTCAGTTTATTACTATTCCATTGTAATATCACCTGTCTGATGATAAGGACTTTAAGCAACCCAATCAAGAATGTAACTATGAAAATGATGAAAAATATCCTCACATAGCTTGGACTAGAGAAGCATTCTGTAATGAAGCAAACAAATAAATTGATTAAAAATGGGAATGAGTAAGTCAAAGGATTCCAACAAGTAAACAGAGTTTACCATCTCAATGAATAGGAGCAGGGATATTTGCAAATTTACATTTTGAAAACAGAGGACTGCCATTACTGTAGATTCAAAGAAGACTCTCAAATTTTTATTACACACTTATTAAAATATTTTCAACATAAAATGCTCCTTTGTAGAATAGCCACAATTAAGTATTTAATAAAAGTATTTATTTGCAGCTTGTTTGATTCTTAGGAGTATTAACTGGAATATACCCAAATCCAGAACCAAATATAATTGTATCCATGATAGAGAGAGGGACAGTTTTGTGATGTGTTCCCTTGATCACAAGTAGAAACTGGGATTTAAAAAATTATTTAACAGCACGCCTCATTAGCTTATGTTCCCTTTGTTTTGCTCCTCTTCATTTGTTGCACACCAGTAATGGAAAATAAAGTAAACATCTGCAGAAGCTAAAATCAGTACTACTCTAACAGATGAATAAATATTTCCTTTGAAATTGCACTGTCACTTTTCATGATTATTACACATAGATTCTCCAGGAAATGAGAGTGTCCAGTTCAGGACAATACACAAAATCGCTTTCCTCAATTTTTCTTTTTCTTTCTTTCTTTACTTGTCTGTTAACCAAGTTTTGCATCTAAATATTCCACTTGTAGTGTTTTAAGAGTAAGTAATTACTAGCTGGGAAAGGATATGCCTCATTCAGAGGAGGAGCATGCTAGGTCTCTGTTTTAGCACTAGACTTTTGGCAAACTCTAGTTGGAAAGTCTAAGACTCTGTGGCTGCCAGAGGTATTATCCAAATCTAAGAGGAACATGGTTGCACAATATGTCAGTATTCCACAGAACTTACCAGCTGTCCCAGACTCAAAAAATTACCTCCTGGCCTAAAGAGCCATGTGTTTTTTGCCTCTTCTTTAGACTTTGGGGACTTCACCTAAACGTCTGAAGGTCTCCCTGAGAGGGCCTTTCAGGAGAGGACCTGTCAAGACTTAGAAAAGCAATCACCCGCTATTGGGTGATCTATGACTGAATTCCCAGGGATGACCAAGCGTGCTCTTGAATAAGCCAAGAGCTCAGTAACAAGAGCAAGGGCTCCTCTCCAAATGGGAAGACAGAGCACAGTTTTCTTTTGGTCAATGATAAGATTTCCTTGAAAGAAAGGTTAAAGAGAGGCTGGAGGACTACTAATTGGAATAGAAGCACCAAACACAAAATGCAAGTTTTCCTTTGTTTCACACACTGAGAATCCAGGATGCTCGATTCAACAGTGATGCCCTTGGTGTCTTTCACAGCGACCTCTGAGTTTGTGACATGCATGCCTTCCATCCAGGCAGACTGTCATTTCCCCTAGCTGACTCAGAGCTACTCAGTCAGCTAATATCCTTATAGGGGGCATGTGGCTTGATCCCACTTACTGGCTTCTCGCCTAGTAGAAGCTTAACTAGAAAGACCAAAGAACACTCTTTAAGTGTGATTGAATGAATAGATAATAGAGGTGGCTAACACATGCCCTTTCTCTCTCCTTGCACAAGAGTTGTGAAGGGGAGGGGATTCCCCTAGCTACCCATACATTTTACAAATGTTTATAATGGGTTAGGATACATGACATTTTCAGGGCCCAAATCTGCGTGCATTTTTTAAATGTCATTTTGGATCAGCAAACATTAAGCCATGGCCATGACTATCATCTTAGTTTAGGTCAAGTAAGGGCTTTTTCTAAGGAGCTTTAATGGAATACTTTTTGTAACCACACTTAGGTCACAGTAGGTCTGTTTACTTAACATAATAAATGACATGTTGACAGTAAGGGCTCCATTTATTAGAAAAGGCACTTGGCTTTTGGGAGTGATTGCTACAGCCCCAGCTGGCAGCACATGGGCTCTTTTCAGAGCCAAATTCAGTATGGGCTAAAATCAGTATGGATGGGAGGGAAGCAAAACTCAAGAAAGTTTATTATTTCGTACGCTCTCTGTAAAAGCTGGGATTATTCTTACAGATTAAGAGAGATTATAGTAGCAGTTAAGAATGTTTTCAGTGAAGTCATAATTTTATTATGTGTAATCTTTTAATTTACATAATTCTTTCATGTTCACTGGCTCATTTAATCTTACACTACTCTGAGATTGGTATTACTATCTCCATTTTACAGATGAAAAAAACTAAGGCATAGGGAAATATTGTAAGACACTGATATTTCTTAACTACTATGTCAAGGGACATGGCTTAAGCCAAGGTCTTCAGACTAAAAGTTCCGTACCCTTTCCATTGTGTCACCTTTATAATCATTCATGCTAACTTTTATTTATATCATAATGAAAAGTATCAGGAAGGAATAGCCCTTTTGAACTTATGCACTTTACAAAAGCAGATCATTGCTACTTTGAATTTTTTGGCTTCACCTGAAACATGAAAATGTTAGTTTGACACGAGGAAGGTTATAACTGGAAACAAGTTTGGTTTATGAAAAATAATTATGGCTCCGTAGATACTGCCTCTAAGGGTGACATTGACTCCACATAGGAAACTCCTTGGTTCACTGAGGCCTCTCTAGAAAATATGTTCGGTGTACTTCCATGGAGATGCACAGCATGGGAACTTACCTGGGTAGTTAAGAAGGGGGATCTAACAGTTCAGCCAACCGTGGCAGACACACTCAGCTAATTTTATTGAGTACCATCTCTGAGATATTGAAAACATCGAAGCAGTTAGTCCATTCTTTAGGATGGTTTCTATGGACCCTTTTGGGGAACATGATTCGATACTTTCTCGGTGCTTTGCTTATTAAGCTTTGGCTTACCTGATGTTTGGTCCACATAATGCTGTTGCATGAAAGCACATGAGGATTTACACCGGTCAAGTATAGCTTGAGACAGATTGTGGGGGTGAAGGCATTGCACACAATTCCTGTAAGGGGAAACAGAAATGGAAACATATAATCTTTAAAAGGTGGTAGCCTGCAGTATTTTCTACAAGAAATAAATTAGGATACTTCTTTAGGACAGCAGTCTTGTAAAACTGGTGAAAAAAGCTATGACACTTATTTGTAATTTTGGCTGAATTTAATACCATGGCAAAGTTACTTTCTAACCACTTAAAATAGTTTAATAATGTATAAAATCAAAATAATGATTTTTCTCCCTTTTTTTTCTTCTAGGATTTTTAGGGTTTCAAATCCTACATTTAAGCCTTTAATCCATTTTGTGCTTATTCTTGTATATGGTGTGAGAAGGTGGCCTAGTTTCATTTTTTTTGCATGTATCTGTCCAATTTTCCCAGCACCATTTATTGAGTAGGCTGTATTTACTTCATTGTATGCTCTTGCCTCCTTTGTCATATATTAATTGACCATATAAGTGTGGGTTTATTTTTGGGCTCTTTATTCTGTTCCATTGTTCTGTGTGTCTGTTTTTATGTCAATGCCATGATGTTTTGATTACTATAGCTTTGTATAATAGTTTGATATCAGGTAGCATGATACCTCCAAACTTGTTCTTCTTTCTCAAGATTGCTGTGGCAACTTGGGATCTTTTGTGGTTTCATATAAACTTTTAGATTATTTGTTCTTGTTCTGTGAAAAACGAACTTTGGTATTTTGATAGGAATCACATTGCATCTGTAGATTGCTTTGGGTAATACGGACATTTTAATGATGTTAATTCTTCCTATCCATGAGCAGGGTATATGCTTCCATTTATTTGTATCTTCTTCAGTTTCTTTCTGGAGTGTCTTACAATTTTCTTAGTACAGGTCTTTTATCTTCTTGGTTAAATTTATCCCTAGGTATTTTATTTTATTTTTTGATGCAATTGTAAATAGGGCTTTTTTTAGTTTCCCTTTCTGACAGTTCATTATTGGTATAAAAATACAACAGATTTCCGACCTAGAGGGTATTATGCTAAGTGAAATGAATTGTCAGAGTAAGACAAATACCATATGATTTTACTTATATGTGGGATCTAAAGAACAAAACAAATGAACAAAGTAGAAGCAGACCCATGGATACAGAGAACAGACTGATAGTTGCCAGAGAGGAGAGGAGTTGCGGGACTAGGTAAAAAAAATGAAGGGGTTAAGAAGTACAAATTGGTCATGACAAAATAGTTATGGGGATATAAAATACAGCCTAGGGTTGTAGTTAATAATATTATAATAACTGTATGGTGCCAGGTAGGTGCTGGAAATATCAGGGAGGAACATTTTGTAAAGTATGTGATTATCTAGCCACTATGTTGTAGACCTGAAACCAATACAAAGCAATATTAAATGTAAACTGTAGTGAAAAATATTTATAAAATTACTTTTCCATCTTAAGAAGAAAATCTATAGGAAATGAAATCTCTTAATACACACACACACACACACACACATGCACACACTCAAACTAGCATAAATGTTTTAGAAGATGAATATTAGAGACTAATAGAAAAGTTTAGCAATAAATACACAGTTCAAATTTGTGTTTAGTTCTTTAGAATTAATTCCATCATTATGTTTAGGAAATGCATTTCTAAGAGAGAGACATAATTTGCTATGCATTCTTTAAAAAATTTTACTTGTGCTATTAATTCAAGAAAGTGGAGGTTATAAAAATTTGAATAAAACAAATTGGAAGGCACAGTGATGTTTAGAGTAGTGGCTTTTGTTTGAACAGGGTTCAAACTGTTATTGGGAAATTAATTATTGGCACAAAACAATAATGCTATCTTTATTTAACATATCACCTTTCATTTATCCATCATTTATTTATTTAGTGCTTCATAACCACCATCATTCAATAATACTATCTAACATTTTTCTATAACTGTGTATAAGTACAAAGATATTTTATATGAATCATCTAATTTAATTCTTTCATAGAACTATATCAAGGTATTATTATTATCCTCATTTCTGATATCAGGAATATTGACAGAGACTATCCTCAGAAAATTCACAGAGAATTTCAACAACTTGCCCTAGATCAAACAGCTAATTAATAGTAAGCTGGGAAGCAACCAACCCCTAAGTCATCACATTATAAACCTTAAACTTGCATAAGGTTATATGCCAATTATATATCTAAAAAGCTGGGGGAAAACCAATGAACTGCTATAAATACTGAATATTATTCTTAAAAAACTCCACCTTATTATCAAAATTGAAGGCAGTGAATGCCTTGTTAAATTCTTATACTCCACAGTTATCTAGTGGCCAAAAATTGGAATCTAAGTCTTAAAATTCCCAAATCCCCCACTCAGTTCTCTTTTAGCATGATGGTAATTAATTTGGAGGAGAAGATGCAGCACTTCTAGGGTTATGAAAGGCAGAATTAAAAAGGACAAGCATAGCTGTAATGGAGTACTGCTTTATGCATGTTTGGAGTCAGAGAACACATACCAGTTTTCATTGCAGCCTGTGTGACACGTGGGGCAGTGTTCACAGAAGCGGCCGAAGCTTCTAGGATCAGTGCACTCGCACCTGCCACATACACACGTGCCTCTTCCACTGCACACTTGGCCCTTTGGATTGACGCAGTGCTGGGCTGATGTTGATGGGCACTGGCACCGATCTCCTTCCCAGCCGCTGAAGCACTGGCATCTGCCTGCTTCACATTCTCCGTGCCCTGCAACAGACACCACAGGACCTAAGTTATTGGGGCCACCGACTTTGTGAAGCTTTTCTAAATGTGAATTCCCCTCGCATTTCCATGGAAACACACTGACAGTGAAGTGAGTGCAAACAATATCATTTTCTACTTGTCTGACATAAACAATGCCAGGATGTAGTTTCTACTTCCAAAGCTGTTATAGTGTAATCTCCTGATGCTATTTTATTGTGCTGACAATTGTGAAGTCTGCCCAACTACTTGAAAGTCACTGTATATTTAGTTTTTTAAAAAATATATTTTATTGATTATTTACCAGAGAGGAAGGGAGAGAGATAGAGAGCTAGAAACATTGATGAGAGAGAAACATCGATCAGCTGCCACCTGCACATCTCCTCCTGGGGATGTG